TACTGACAGAGATGAAACATTTTGGAACCCCTGCTAATATCTCAATGTACTTTGAGGATTTCCCAGGAGCACGTTAAAAATAAAATCATAACCTCAGAATTCTTAGAGTTCTGGAACATCATGTTACGGTGACCTGAAGTTCAAGCAGTGTGCTATACACAAGAAACCGATAATAAAATTTTGTCAAAGAAAAACAATGGATCTTGCAGTTCTGTCTAGAAACCAGGCAATGAACCAGCAATCATATGCTGATTAGTTAAATTGACAGTTAGAATACTATTGGGTGCAAAAATTAAAAGACTTGATACATCTTCTGCAGCAAATGTTCAAGTTCTGAAAACAAATGTGCTGCCAACATTGTATCAGGTGTTAAAGGGAAATGACAAATAACCGACGAAATGACAATTTAGGGTGAAGATATTTCACGTGATAGGGAGACTAAAGAAAATGGAACAGTTGTCAAGAGGGCCAAGTTAACATCCAAGGTAGGCCGAAGGTGCGTCAATGAAAGAGTCCTTCTTCTTCTTTAAGTGCTCTGTCACGTCCTGGCGCTGGCAACTATTCCTTTGAACATAGTACGATCCTGAGTAAGATGGACGGAGGTCTTGGTTTTTCATTTTATTACTTACAGTCCATACTTCGCATTACCGACTATATGACCATGAACCAAATCATGTATCCTCACTGGCTGCATAGAGAACCACCCGGACAGAGACATACCTTATTGTTCCATTTTAAGGCAAGGTTAGGCTTCTAAAGTACCAGCTGCTGTCAGGAGGGAGGGTCAAAATAGAGAAAGAAGTCTGTCGATAATATTTGCTTTGTGTAAAGCAATACCGAATGTTTCCTAACACAAACAACTTTCCTTTCAGAGAAAATCAACCGCAAGAAAGTTTTCAGATGTCCAATTTGTCGTCAGACTAAAGATCAACTGGAAAACCTGCGCGTAAACCATGCTATCATGGACCTATTGAATCCGGTAAGCAAATAGTGAGAGTGAAAAAGAAATACAAGTAAGTGGAATTGATGAATAAGGATAGAGGTTAAAGTGATTAAATGAAAATACATCAACTTCTTGTGGTCATGTATACAATTAAACAAATATTTCCTTGATTTTTATATCGTTTCTAGACATTCTGGACAACAATATCCCAAACAACTTGTTTATTTTTTTTTGTTTCCCTTGAAAATGATCTAGATATTCATCCATAATATTGTATAGGTAAACTTGTTTCATTTTTATTATTAGTCATGATTATTTTAATGTGATTCTCAAAAAAAAAAAAAAAAAAAAAAAATCTAGTGAAAGTTGCTTGAATAAATTTGTGCGATCGGGGAAGGAGGCAATAACAAGGCCATTGCAACCCTTGGTAATAATGTGTTATGTGAGGTTGCTAATAACTTGCTGTTGTTCTGTGACTTGCGATCATCTTGACCCTCTAATAACAAGTAGCCACTATAAACGTCATCACGAGAATATGTCTCAAGAAATTCAGAATAAACACAAAATCTATGCCAAGGAGGAGAACAGAACAGTAATTGTCAGGTCTTGGTACCTGTAGACACTAACCTTGTAGGTGTATATTGTGTATAGAATAGTGAAATATATTACAAACTAATACATATTATAAAAATAGTCTGTATTAAATACAGGCAGAATATTATTCTGATCAGTTTATATAGCATAGAGTCTCCTTTCATCGTTTCTCACTCACTGTGACTTTTCTGCCCCTTCCTCTTTAAATTTCTGTAGCAATGTTACGTCACTGGTAAATTTCACTCCTGTTGGTCATCACAGGATATGCAGTAATCTGTGAACGTGTGCATCCGTAAACCTAAGCAACATTATCCACCAATCAGTTTTTTTCCTCTCTCTAACGTTTCCCCATCTCATTGTTGTTATTATTTTAAACCTTATCATTAGTAGTAGTGCTACTGTGACTTATTAACTCAATGAAGATAATAAGACAAGGGTAATGATGGTAATAATAACAATACATATAACTTCTATGTATATCTTAGTAATAGTGATGGTGAGTTATTATAACAGCTGTAACAACATCAACTTCACTAATAATGTTAATGGTAATTTTAATTGATGAGGATGATGACCACTAAGATTTGTTTTCAGTATTTTTCACCGAGTCCTCTGTACTTGCATTTTCCTTAAATACGTATTTTTATATTCTAGCTGAGTATATTATATAATGCTTCATCTTTATTATATTATATCTTTTATTTATTCATTTCATTTCTCTTCATAAAAGGGAAAAATTTCTTGCTGCTGCATATAAACATTGTACTCAGCATGGCCTGGATGAAAGAAAAAACAAAGAACAAAGTCATGTAATGTAATCGTGATTAGTTTGACCATGCTTTGAATTATATTAATAATAAGTTAAAAAAAATATAGGGATAAGAGAGGGAGGAGAGAGAGAGAGAGAGAGAGAGAGAGAGAGAGAGAGAGAGAGAGAGAGAGAGAGAGAGAGAGAGAGAGAGA